TTTTCGGAAGAGTAATTCTTATCTTTATTCTTTTAGTTGAAACAAAATAAAGAAGACGTATTACTCCACAATATTAAGTTTATCTTTCTTTTATTTCAAAATTTTTCTTATATGAAAGGAAATAAGATTCCATTTTATTATCAAATCGGAAAATTAGAAGTATATTCACAAGTACTGATCTTATTTTTGTGTTCCAGTCGTTCGGAAAGAACAAGATAACAAAACTAAGAAAAAAAAAAAAGAGAAGAAAACTCCTAAAGTTGAAATAGAGAACAATAATTGTCAAGATCAATTATTTCTACAGATAATTCATTATACGCTAAGATGAGTTTATCATCATATATTGATATCGATTGAATTTGATTATTTTTCGATGGTTCAATTTTAGTTACATAAATTTCATGAGTAACACAATCTATACAATTTCTTTTGGTATCTAAAATAAACCATAATTGTTTATCACATTTATTTGTTTTATTATTATTTGTTGTTGATGGATATATTTTTACTTTTGGTAAATATGTTGAAATAATTTTTGTTGGATTCATTAAATTATGCATTGGAATTTTTTTCGTTATATTATAATTTTGATTTTCATGACAAACTAATAATTGATACATATTTGAATCATTAATAAGAAATGTAATTATTGATTTTTGTGTTACTGTAAAACCAATAAAATATTGTATATCGGGATATGATTTGGTTAAATTAATATTTTTTTCTTGAAAAAAACTATCTAATAAACATTTAATGAATATTTGATTATATTCTTTATTTGTATATAAATAATAACAATAATCATCATAAACAGTTGATTGTATTTGATTATTACGTTTTAAAATAGTTTGATAATATGAATCATTTGTAATCAATAATAAATCTTTATATAATGTATCATAAAGAAAATATTGTGTATTGATATTTTCTTTTATAATATCATAAACAAAAATTTTTGTTGAAGTTATTATATAAAATAAATTACTATCAACATGACCAAGTGAGAGAATATCACCTGAAGATAATAGAATGAAACATAATATAGTTAAAAATTTTAGAAAAAAAAAAAGTTCAACATTTTTTTCAATGTTACGTTTCAAATAAAATAAAATTCAAATAAATCTGTATATTAACAAGATTTATCGTATAGATAGCACTGATTTTTAAGTAAATTCATCAATATTTTCTGATGAAAAATACATAAAATGAGAGTTTCCTATGTATTAAACGTTTGTATGTGAAAAAGAAGACAATGATCATTTTATTGTGTACTTTGAAAAGTGTATATCTTTTTCTTATTACCATAATCGAATAAAATGAATATAATTATAGAAAATAAGGGTTAAGCAGTATTATTAGTATAGTCATCAACAGGATTTATCCAGTACAGAATTTTACAACAAACATTTCACAATTGATCAACATCAACTAACCTAACATGATGTATTTTTGTTCATAAGTTAGACTAGTAAAATTCTGAAAGAAGAAGAGTGTTTGAAGCTTCTTTCCAATGTGATGACTATTTTAATAAGTTTTAAATATTTGAATAAGGTATTATTCAACTCCACTTCATATGTTACAAGACAAGCACAATAATCGAGTTATACTAGCAATTCAATATCTCAAAAAAGAAACATTCATTGTGGTCGAAGCTTTCAGGATGTGCAAAACACAATTAGACGTACGTATAAATAAAATTCCAGATCGAAACTCGATCATTAAATATCTTCAATAATAGCTTGCTCAGATGATACAAACTTATTAAATCAGCTATAACTTAGGAAAAAATGCCTCAAGGCTCTTATTCGTTCAGGCTTTTACTAGTTGTAATATAATCTACTTATGGAGAAAAAAATCAGTTCCATCAGCGTTGTTCAGTTGTGAATTTTTACATGTTTATTTAAAGAATTTTATCACAATATCATGTAATTACATAACGAATATATGTGCATTTGCCGTAATATAAAACATGGTTCATGTCTATTTGAAATAATCTTATAAATTCTGTCAATGAGAAAACATCATCAAGCTATGCATTACTCTTAATATGATATTATTTCGTTATATAAATGGTGGTGAGATCCTTATAAATTCTAAACACGGACAACAAAGAAAGGAAGTTTTTGTTTAATTGGTAATCTATTGTAGAATTTTTGAAAGAATAAACCTACAATCAGACAAGACTGACGTTATCAAGTATTTTATTTTATTTTATTTTTCTTGAGATTGTTAAAACGTCATGAAAATAAACAATTTATTAATAAACGTTCATGTTCATTTAGAAGAGCATTTTCAATGAATTATCTTTATCTATATATATCTTCGATATTGTTAAGAGATGGGTTATTTAATATACTTCTTCATAAACATTATTGTTGTGAGAGAAACGAGCTTCTAAACTGTGTATTTTAAAACGTAATGATTTGAAAATTTCAATCTTAGTATATTATACTAATTTTCCTAATGCCTACACATATAAATAAAATCTTACATTAAGAGTAATATTTCTTTTAGATATGCTTGTTTCCTTGAATTCGAGTTAAGAGTCATTTCTCATGAGATTTAGAGAATAAAATTAATTTTTCTTACGAAAGTACCTTCATCCCAATGAATTTCTTTAGGTTCATTTTCTTGTGTATCAAATATATAAAGTATGTTTGGAGTATTCATATTATAAAGAAGAACAAATCGTTTATTAGCACCGATGAGTAAAGTGTCATCACATGGTATTGATCCTTGAGAAATTTTCTTTGACAGTATCACAGATGATTTTTGTTGCTGTTGTTGCTGTTGAAGATTATGTGAGATCTTTGAAAATTTAAATTGACCAGATCTGATAAAATGATTTAGAAAATATTCTCATAAAAGACAAACTAATAATCTATATTTGTCTTAATTTATCTACTGAAATTAAAATAAACACCCTTGGGCAAAAATCTTCCTTCCTCTCTCCTCATTCTTTTCGTTTAGAATCTCTTTGGCCTCAAGCGAATGTTGGTTACAAGGCGGGTTTATGTACTTTATTGTAGTTTACTGTATGACTGATGACAATATACTTCAGTGAAAAATATACGTCTTTCAATATAATTGAGAAACACTACAAATGAGTTAGTTGACAGAATGTTTCACGACTGATTTATCTGTTTTTTTTCTTGTATCTACTATCTATTTTATTTATTCGACTCATTAAACTCTCTTCATTGTCGACTCAAAGCTTGTCTGAGAATGTGGTATAGTCGATTATACGAATACAGATAAAATAAAGCTAATAAAACATTCAGAAACTATCAAAAAAATATAGATAACCTAGCCATGCAACATTCTCTCAACTAACCAATTTGTAGTGTTGATTGACTGTATTGAATGACATATATTCTTCATCGAAGCAGGACGTAATCAATCATATACTACACTAGAATATAGTATTTAAGTTATTCTTGTAATCATCATTGACTTGAAACCAAAAAAGTTCAATACAGAAAGAATTAGAGAGCAAAAGACTTTTGCCCAAAGTTATGTATGTATATATATATATATATGCATATGGATCATAAAATAACATCTGAGTACGTACTTATTATTTGGATATGTTTCTCGAATAAGTTTTGTTAAGTCAATTTCATTACTATCAATTGGCGATTGTACTATTGGAATTGTTTTTGATGGAATGGAATTTTTCTTTTGTTGAAATGCTGCAATATCAGCACGATTACTAAAACTTGTAGAACGACTTGGAGTTGGTAATGATGTTTTAGGTGTTGGTGTTGCAGTAAATGTTAAATGATTTTTGTCAGTATGTTTTATATCAGAATGAGTAGATGAAGATGATATCATAGAATTTATAGAAAAACAAATTTTTTCAATATTAAATAATACAGAAGGTCTATATTGGAATGATTCAGCTATTTGTCGTTCACTAGCAAGTACTTCATTAAAAGCACAGTCGTGCTGTAAATTTAACAAATTTTGAAACATTTTAAGTAAGCCTTAAAAACAAAAGAGATAATTTTTATTGACTAGATATAGTTATAAAATAAAACCTACGAGGGAAAAAAACGAAAATGCCGTACTCAAAGAGCATGTCAAAACTATCCTCTTAAATTTTTTTCAGTTATTTCAAGTCTACTAGCAACATGTGCCATGAACAGTATTAGTTTGAGTTCATATTATATACATTTGTGTAGCATGCTAATGACTTATATTAAATGAACTGAAACTAATATGCTCGTGGCACATGTTAATAATAGACTTAGAATCGCTAAAAATTTCTAGAGAATATCTTTGACATCTGTTTGAAGTATTGAACTTTCACTTTTCCTCCCTTGGTCAAACCTCTCTATTCTAGGTATTGCTAGAAAATCTTCAGTTTATAAATATTCAGTTGCACATAATAATTTGTTTCTTCTTTCTAACAATTTATTAATTCAATTTTTTCGATTGAAAATAAATCAACTCGTATTGATACAATTTGATATTGCTAGTTATTAACATAAAATCAACGAAATGTTAGAACAAGCACTGCTGCTGCTGCTGTCTAATATTGTTTTGTTTTGTCTTTTAAATATCTACGACTAGTCCATCCCCTTTTCTTTTATATGTCTAATGAGTGTTTATCATAACGAACTACACATAGCATCATTGTTTTTCTCATTCTTCACATGAATTACAGAACATATATTGCTCAAATCATAGAGATTATTAATACTTATGAAATCAGAAATAAACGCTCACTACTTAGAATAAGGAGTTGCTCATGTTTGAAATGTTTTTCTGTATAGAACAATGAGAAGTGTTAGACATATCGATCGAATATGTCCTACGCTCAATCTTTTTTTATTATAATTTGTCTAAGAGATGTTCTAATTGATTAACGCAGAAAATTTTTGTTTTTCTACATATTAAAAGAGAAGCGTTAAATCAGAATAAATACATTTGCCACTTCACAACTAGACTTAAAACAATAAGTTATCTTAATTTTCAATCAAGTAAACAGTTAAATACTATATACATGTTTTATTTTCTTCATTTGTTTTAAAAGCTTCTTGTTCCAAATAATCTAATTGATTAGCTAATTCAATTCTATCAAATCCAATTATTGATCGAAGTTTTTCATCATCATTATTATATAAAGATGCTTGTTGTCTAATAAAAGCAATCCTATTATCACATGCTTGTTGATCATCATCAAGAATTTTTTTATAATAATCAAATTTTGAATGAATAAAACGAAGACATGCTTCAGAATTTGAAGAAATGAAATTTTCATCCATTTAATTCATTATCTAAAATGTATATATAAAACCAAAACCAAAATCAAAACAAAAATAAATAAATCTATAATTATTATTCATGAGACATTTTTATATCACTCTCATCTTTTGATTTCTCAATTAATTTAATTTGCTCAGTTGTTAATATCATTTCATTTTTACTTATCAATTGTTCATTTTGTTCTATAATACGTTTTGCATTAAATAATTCATTTGATACAAGTTGTGTTACAATTTCATCTTGTGTTTGATAACAAGCATCAATTGATTCCGTAACAAGACGATCAATTGTTGATAAAAGTAAACGTAAACGTAATAATTCAGTTTTCATTTCATTAAATAAAACACGATGTTTTACATAAATATCCCAAACTTCATGTTGCATATTTCCTGTACCTTCAAGTCTTTTATATTCTTCTAATATTCCAATCATTGTAGCTATATGAGTACAATAACGTTGAGTTAATTCTGAATAATAATATAATGTATGTTTAAGAAACGAAGATGATGATGATAAAGTAATCATGGATGATTCACGTATACATTCAAAACCCGTACAATTAATATGTTGATATGGTGTTCGTGGTAATTCAGATGAATTTTCATGAAGATTAGATTTAGGTTCTTTCGATGAACGATTGAAAAATATCGACGATGCTACAGCAAATAATGAAGAATTTAAACGAAATCGAAAACGAAACATGAGTTATCTAAAAATCAAAAATTTATCGAAGAATAAATCAATATTGTGTTATATAACAAAGTAAATGAAATCAATAGATTTTCTATGATGTCAAGTGATAAAATCATATATGATTCTTTTTTTTTTATTTATGAAGAAAGAAAACAGAAGTTGTAAATTTTAGAAACTGTGTTGTTAAACTATTTATCTACAAGATCCTTGTAAAAACACAAAATTATTCATAGATTATGCTAAAGGTTTGAGTTCTTCTGGTATTGTCAGTTTTTTTGTTTCAATCCACGACTGAAGTTGTTTTTTCCTAAAAGGAAACAAAACAAAAAATCAAAAGAGTTTAGATTTTATTTCTTTCAATGAACAATCTACAAATACCAAATAGGTCGTTCAGATAATGGTGGAAAACCGTCATTTTTCATTAGATGATTTGAAGTAGCAAAATTTCGTACGACTGTCTAAATATTAGAAAATCATATACATTGAAAATTGGTATTAATTGATTAGTAAACATCGTTAGTAAGAAGTTTGAACATTCTATTTGTTCCTAATAGCTCAAACTTTCAAAAACTATCATCTATGAATACACTGGTAATGGTGTAACCGGACTTACATACAACTTTGAAATGGTCTAAACATGTACATATTGAGTATCTGTGAACGTATGATAAAACTATCGGTGGTTTTGAATGAATTTTGACTTTTCAATCGGACAGTCCATTTCAAGAAAATAACTGAATTATATAAGAATAGATCAAAGGTTTTCAGATCGAAGAATTCGAACCTATAGAAGGCTTGTCAAATTTCTTGTCACAGAGTGACCAAATTCTACTTTGTGATGTTTCTATCTCAGTTTATCTTTCACAACTATATCCTTTGCATTATTACATAGAGGATTTACCCTTTCATATTCGTCTTGTCACCTGAATTATTCCTTTCGCTCTCATCACTCTTGTTGAATTTTTCCTACCTTGTTTATTAATTCTCAAGTTTGATTTTCTCGTTCGAGAAGGATTTAGTTCTTGCGGTTTAGTCAAGTTAATTAAAATTCAGCTATTTTCTTGAAATAGATCTCGTACAATAAAAAAGGTCAACAAGAATTTAATCTGAGGACGTTTTCAAATGATCAATCGCTTTGAAATTCGTAGTCACTGCATAAATTAGACTCTAGTGACATATGAAAAACCTCAAAAGAATAAATCCTCTTAGGTCTTCCGTTCAGAGTTATTGGTGTTGTATTAGAGTTTCAGTTTCTGACTGAATATATACCAACAAGTCGAATAACAGCATCTTGATCCGGAGATTTAAAAGTTCTAAAAATCACCCATTTTTCACAAACGAAGCTAGAAATTTCTGTCTTTTAGGACTTTAATATCTTAGTAAGACAATGTTCTATTGAGTGAAAATTTTCAGAGCGCTCCACTGACAAATAGACCTGACCATAGGTAAACTCTCAGGTTAAAATATTATCATTCAATTTATTGGTATATGCCATGCCAGAGACCAAAGTTCTAGTAAAAGGCCTACGACTCTAGATGTAAGATCTAAGAGAACTTATACTTTTAGAGTTTTTTTTATATCTCACTGAGATCTACCTTATGCACAGGGTTAGAATTTTAAAATGATTGAACAATATAACAAGTTCTCTCATAAGATCACTGTCTTCACCGTTGTTCTATACGTATATCCCTAGACTGATGTAGCATTCTACTTAAAATCAGTGATCTTAAGAGAAATTATTTACCCAAAAACGTTTGCATGTTTTATAATTTTCCATTTGTGCATCGCATTTATGATAATCGTCAGCAGCCAATAATAAACAATTATTGGCTATTTCTGATTCCTAAATGTAAAAAAAGATGCAATTTTATATCAAACAGATGTACATTTAGATATTTGGTCTTAAAAATAGTGCAGAATCAATAATATATTGATTGTCTCACTTGCTCAGATACATAAAGTTTAAATCATCTTTACATTCTTGTCTTTCAGTGCAACTTCAAAACTCAATCTACAATTCTTCTATTAAATTTATCATACAAGATGGTTCACGTTATCCTATTCAAATCTAACAAAGTTTTCATATGTTTTTTTTAAATTTCTATTATAACAAGTACGGGAGAGAAAAATCATGAATAGTAATGACTATGATAATGAAATTCGACTAAAAACAAAGAATTGATAATAAATAAACCAACAGTGATGTCTTAAACAATGGAAATCTTTGTCTTCAAATGAGAGAAATATATTTAAGCTAAAGGAGAAGCTTTTTCTTTCGGAGACGGGCTAGTTAATGTAAAACTTAAGTAGTTTTATGTAAGCATATATATCAATACAAACGAACCATAGTTAACACTTTATAGTTAACGCATCATTCCACTGTTAGTATTAATTTTAATTTGTTCTGTTAGATTTAACTAACTTATATTAAATGATTAGATAGTTAGGAGGAAAATATAAAATTTTTCTAAAGCGAGCCTTCCACAAGGTCTTCTATTGAAGAGGGATAGAGCGTACTTAAGCTTGACATTTATTCAACCATGGCATTACAGTATCCCACTTCTACGGCGACGCGGGACTGCAAACAATCATGAATAACCGTTTAGTTTTTTTTTCTGTCTTCTAATGGACAAATCTGTAATAGTTAAAACTCAATCAAGTAAAAATTTCTTACTTTAAGACAAGGATTGAGTTCATTTTGTCGATCGTCAAATAATTTTCTCCGTTTATTAGTTGGTACATCTTGATAACGAAAAGTTCCTGGTTTGTAAGATATCTTTTCTGTAATATTATCGCTATCAACATCAATAGTTGATGATGACATCTGAAATCGATTGTTGAATCATTCATTCTCAAATGATTTTTATCTAATTTCTTTTTTCTTCTACTTTTGAAGAAACAAATAAACCAATCAAAAGACAAACGTTCATCACTTTTATTGAGAAACTTATCAGCAAAAGAAAAAAAGCCAACAATAACAATACAGCATCAAGAAAGAAAAAGTGAAACAAAGATTATATATATTTATAGATATATATGTATATTCACCAGACATCTTTCAAAATATTGTACTATCGATATAACAAAGAGAAACAACATAGGATTTACTACTGACATCCTTCGCAAATATTTCGGAATGTTCAATTTTTTCCTTTTTTTTTCTTTTTATCTTAGTATCGACTAGATTGAATTGTAGCACCATTATATAGTTGAGAAAACATCTTCTTGTTCAGTTGATCGTAATGTAGCAATTGGAGATTGATCTCGATTAGTATAATTTAATTTTGATGATATTTGAGGTGAATTCGGTGTACCTGATTGGGAACTAACATTTCCACCTTGACCAAATATAACATCTTCATTATCGGATGCTGATGCTATTTGATCAGTACCAAAATATCGATCACCAAAATTACCTAAACCTGGACATATGAAACCTGTTTCTTGATCAAGTTGAGTATCATATGCTGTTGTAACTATTTTGACTTTAGGAAATGCATAAGCAACTGTTTGAACACCTGAATTAAATCAACTAATTATTTTAAAAAAAACCTATTCAATAAATTCTCATTTCGTTTAACCTTGTTTTGATACTAGTAATGAAAGTAACGCTATTTTATCTTCAGGTACATTATGATCTAATAATACTCTTATTGCCATTAATGCTGCTGCTCCAGTAGCTAAAAATAAATATGATTATTTTGTTAATTTTTTTCATTAATAAAGAAACTCAGAAAAAAGAAAATATTACCAATAGTAGCATCAAGAATAAATACATAAGCATCAGCAATATCACGAGGTAATCGGAGAAAATGAAGCTATTTGTTTAGCATGTAAAAACAAATCAAGAAAAAGATTTTTTTTTCTTTTTGTTACCTCTGGTTCACCAGTTAATTGATTTGTTTGAATTAAAATCTTACCAATTTTAGCATCTTTATAAACTTCAATTAATGCAGGTTCTAAACATTCACCAGCTCGAACTATTGATACACCACAAACCTATCAAATAAATACGTGGATAGCTTAGGTTTCCAGGATTAGTTCGGAAATCTATTTTGGTCGGTTTCCAAGAAAAAGATTTTTTTATGATATATTAATAAAACTTACATCAGCATAAACATGTTTTTTTCCCTTATATAAAAGACCTTGTGGTGTTTCAACAGTTACATCCTAGAATAAATTTTTTTTCAAATTTTCTAGAAAATAGTTTCGAAAAAAAGTATTACTTCAAATGGTAATAATGATAGAGCATATTCAATTAATACTCGCATAAGACGTTTAGAATAAAAAATAAATTCATCACGACCTGTAAGTTTATTTCTAATGCAAAAAGAAAACAACAACAAAAAATTCATGTTTTAATTAAAATTGAATAAATTAGAATTCATACCGTATTATTGTATGGAGATATTTTATTTGTGCTGTTTGTTCAATAAGGTAGAATGTATCAGGCATAGGTAGATCACGCATGAGTCCCAATCGATTGACAAGTTCGTTCCTTACTTTTACACCACGCTAATAGAAAAATTTTATTTTAACTCAAAACAAAACAAAAAAGAAATATGATTTATTTAACATACTTTTTGAAGTTCACGATTCACATGGCGTACAATCAAATCGATAGCTATTTGATTTTCACCACCTGAAAATAAAGAAGGATCATTCTTGGACATCGGAAGAAATATAATACAGATTCATTTTTATAAAATTCTAGTCATTAGAGGTATGAGCTCTTATTAAAAGTTTGCAAAAGGATTTTTTACGAAACTCTAATGAATATACTTACGAGAGAACCATTCCGATTGGTACCTTGTGTTTGAGATGAGATACGCATGATTATTTAGCATTTGTTCAGATTAGAATAAGTCTAGAAGGATTTCTCCCTAGGTGCTGTTCTTCTTGAGTTATGGCCGTGTCACTAGATTTTTTATCCTTGGTGTGGTACCATTCAGAACGATGACTTCGATGACTGGATGCATTATTTTCCGACAGATTATCGCCGAAATATTCAGGCAAATAGCAGTACCATAGAAGTAGAAGTTCGGTGGTCAGCTCTGCTTATTGACAGTTGGTTATTCTTGGGATATCAAGTCCTCGAGAAAAGTCTACTAGATTGTCTGTTATCTTATATGGCATATTATGATGTTCTGAAGATTTATTGTCTCAAGAAGGAATTATTGTTTTCAAGTGAAATTCTATGGTTATTTTAATAGTCTCAACAGCTGTTTTTGAATCAAGTTTCAGATCAAAATTCGTTTGTTTGGATTTTTTTTGTAATGGTCGTCAGAAAGGTGGAAAATCTTGTGTAACAATCATAACTTCAGAAGAATCGCAAATGAGAAGGAATTTTTCTAGACGTTTTTTCTAGTTTTAAGAGACTCTACCTAATCAGAAGTGCCTTATGTCAAACACAAATTATCACTTAAAATAATTTTTTCATTAGTGTAGATAATGCTTATCGCACCAATAATTTATTTCAAATATGTTCTTGAGTATCCAATAATACCCAAATATTGATATAGATAATTTTTTATATTCATGTTACCTACATCAAGAACATTCGTTGAAAGACTGCTACTGTTTGTAACGACGAAGAAATTAATTGTCACATTTTGTTTTTATTCTATGTTAGTCACAGGAATGAATGTTAATTTATTTCGCCTAGAACAAGTAATCAATCATATCTTAGTTAAAAGTAACGAATGTAATATTCATGCATTTGTGCCTCGAATGTGTATAATATTATCAAAATAAAAAATATTCTTTTTTTTAGCTACAGTTAGTTACTTTTTCATTTTGTTCTTTTTGCACTATTATTTTCGAATAATGCAAATCATAACAGAACGAATTTAACCCCTTCTTTCATTGAAAGTTTGTTAGATATAAGAAAATGTAAAATCGAATATAAATCTCAAACATTTTTACCTCTTGGAACAATTAAATCTGCATAAATCATCGTTGGTGCAATATAATGATCATACGAAGGTTTGACAAAACGTGTATATTGTTGTATAACACCATCTATATCACGTCCACGTTCGGTTATATCACGTTCGAGACGACGTGCAAGACGAATATCGGCATCCGTATCAACGAATATTTTCATATCAAGAATCTATTCATATAAAAAAATTTATTTCAAAAAAAAAAAGAAACCTAAGATTCAATAACACACTTCGATAATTTCTTTACTAGCAAATGCCAGAATTCCTTCAAAAATGACTACATTAGCACCATAAAGTATTTTCTATTGATAATAATTGAAAAAAAAAGAAAAATCTCAATAAAAAATTATGTAATAAAACTTACTGTATGCGATTCACGAGAATGTGTAGTAAAATTATACAATGGAATTTCGACCTAGTCGAATATAAATATCATTGAATATTTTTTTATAATATATTTTTACCGTACTTGTTTACCCATTTTAAGATTTTTAAGTGTTTCAAGTAAGAGATTAAAATCAAATGCATCAGGATGATCAAAATTATAATTATTTTCATTGGCTTGTTCATGTTGTTCATCCGTAAGAACCTTTTAAATAAATAAATGTTTCTTGCTTTCATATACTTGCTTCTTACTTTATAAAATGAATCCATACTTAATAAAGTAACCCAAGGTACATTTAATTTTTCAACAATTCTTTGTGCTACGGTTGTTTTACCACTAGCACTACCACCACAAATACCAATAACAAATGCTTCTTTTATTTCACCTGTTGCATTATACCAAGCTGGACGGCCTTTTATTTTATTATTAGAGAATAATATATTGAGAACAATAGAGTTCTTCTTAGTTGTAAAAACAAAAAATACCGGCTGTATAAATTGGATTTCGACCACGAAATGAAATACGATCGTCACCGGAACGACTAGTTGTACGCAGACGTCGTCGACGCATTTTTCCGACTGGAGTCGTCGTTGGAGTGGTTGGACTCGTAGGTGATGTTATAGTTGTTGTTTTTCCATTTAAATTATTTTTCTTTTTTGGCAAAAAACTTACCCGGCGTTTAATTGTTGATGGTGAAATACTTGATGAATCAGTTTGAATAGTTTCATCATCAATATCTGAATCACTAGAATTGTAGAAAACAAGAAAAAATTTGTTACTGTTATTATTGTATACATTTGTTTCAATTGAGATGTTTTCAAATAATTAGATTAGCTTGTCAGCTGAAAAAACAAAGCAAAATTTGTTTTAGATTTATTCTCACCATCGAGTGGCATGTTCATCATCTGTTAAATTCAAACCATTAGTAGCACTTGTTTTTTGTTGTTCTATTTCTTTGCTGTTATTTTCATATGACATGGTACTTTTTTTTGTTCAATTAAATGTCTGTATGATATCACTATTAGACTTAACATACGCAGTTAGTTATGAAAATAAAAGTACTGACTGCTAATAAGCGAGTATAAATAGCAGCCTCGTTCTTTTTTTCTCTTTCTATCATTTGATGCAATTGCGTGCACATATGTAAGAAAAAACACGTAAAGAATAGACTATGACACACGCACCAACACCAAACATTAGACAAGCATAAAGGAAATAATTAATTGTATGGAAAAGAAAGTAGCCAAAACAAGAAATAAACATACAGTCAGTTTCTTTCTTTTTTTTCGTGTTCTATCTATCATTCATAAAACTGTTTTGTTAAATTTTTAAAATTTAATTAAAAAAAAAAGTACAATTAAACGTACCTGTTGGTAGAACCTGAATGACGTCGATACGTGCTCATTTTGATAAAAAAGAAAATCTATCTACGATTAAAATAAATCTCGCTAAGATATTGAATTCTTTTTCTTTTTTTGTGTATATGTATGCGTAAAATTTATTTTATTTTAAAATTTAACACATACATAGAAAACAAAAACAATGATGATATTATAATGATTTGTTTTCATATTCTTATTGTTGCTTGTTCTTTGACTTATTGTTTTTGTTGTTGATTTTTTTTTAATAAAGGCGTTGTGGTTTACCCATAGATGATTTAACATAGAGTGCGCGTACATTTTGCCAATTTTTTTTAAGTAATGAAACAAGAAAGTTAACCGATAAATTAATATTAGCAGCTAATTCATCGACAGTCATGGTTACATTACCAACGGCAACAGCTAAACAAATTGTTTTCTTAGCTTGAAATTTAATTGTTGATTTTATTTCTTCAACTTTTTGTACTAATGAATCACCATGTGTAATAGCTGTTGGAAATTTACCCGCTTTATTTAAACCAGGTCCTGAAAAATAAAATACATAAATTTGCAAAATAAAATCACTTTCTATCTTAAATATTTACCAAGAATACGAGGAATTTGTCGAATAACGACATCGGATGCAAGAAATGCATCATATTGATGAGACAATTTTCGTACGAGTTTTTTATCCTTATTTAATTTTTTTAAATCATCAACAGTCATTGCTGGAATATTATTAGCACGAGCTTCATCACAATGACGTTCATCACCCAAAACACATACAGTAAATTTTGGTTTTGGAACATAACGAAGACGAACAGTACCACTAAAACGTTTATCACGTGATGGATCAAAGTTTTTTAAAACAATTTGTAATTCGACTGTTTCGACAAAATTACGTTTCTTGGTTTCATTAGCATAAGTTAAAACATTTTGTGTTGTTTCAAATAATGTATCCTATTGAAATCAAAAATAAGGTAAAAATATTTTGTTGTTTTTCAAACTTACGCGAGTAATTTTCGATGACATTATGAGATAATAAGAACTTTATTAGAATCTAAAATAATTAGAAATTAATTTTTTAATATACATTTCGATTATTCAAATAGTTGTAGCAGAGGATCAAAAAGAAAAAAAATAAACAAGTAGTATTATTCGACTGGTGATCCAATAAATACCATTGAACATTTTTTAGCAAATATGTTTTAATAGATTTTTAATTTAAAATTCAATTATTATTTAATTCTATTATTTTCGAATTTTAAAATTAGATGTTTAAATGATATTTGTTTATAGAAGTAAGTTACTAATGCATTTTGATTAACATTCGTTGCAACCAATCAGACTGTAGAGAACGAGTATCATGTAAAACAATTGTTATGGTTTTTTCAAAAAGATTTGTTATATGTTCGAACAGTTTTGCACTCTTCTTCAATGATAAAGCAATTATATCAAAAGAAATTATTGCTTCATGCAAGACTGATATTCTTAGTGAAACATCTGGTCTGATATGTTGTTTGACATTATGTATATTCTGACAAAAAACTTATTAGATGCTTTTAGTTTAGTGTTTAATAAATGAATCAAATAGTAGAAAATCTCTATATTGAGATTTCAGAAGTATGATTAATAAACTTGGTTAAAATTTGCTAAAAGAACCACAGATTCAGTATGAAAACGATTTTTAATTAAGGAAAAGAAAATCATATGTACTACTATTTTCGATGTAGTACCGTAGTTCTTTGCCTATAAAGGAAATATGTAGAGGACATAAACGCTATTCTAAAGACACGGTCGAACAAACGACATCAATAACTTTTGAGTAAACTTATTTCTAAGAAAATTTTTGGATCTATCCATTTCATAATCAGAATAGTTCTAATAATAATTATCAGACCATTACTGTAAGTCAAGTGCGATAAAACCAGGCGGCATAACTAACACATTATAATTACATTTCATAAGTTGTGTAAAGTTGTTATGGAACGAACTGGCTTGTTCTGAATTATCTAAAATAATAGCTGAAGAAAAACTCGATGAAATTCATGTTTGTGAAAGTGTATCGAAATGAAATAGTTTAATCTGTTGTTGCGTCAGCTTATTTCGTATCGTAAACAGCGACATATCGAAATACAATAAATCCTTTCGTACTAAAGGTATCTATAGTGAAATGTACTCCATAAATCTAGCACAAAAAAATAGAACTTCTTAGATATATGTGAAAAAAAAACTTTCTAAACTTCTAGAGCATTCTTTATAGAGCTATAGATATATCAGTTGAGTTATTTCATTAATAAAAAGTATATTGACAAGGAGAATTCAATGATGACAATATACATACCCAGTTCATGGTTCAAACCTTTTGAAAAACCTAAAACTTGTCAAATGTCATAGATTCAGACATGAAAGTTAACATGATAGTGAAGTTTCGATAATATTTTATTAAACGTGTACTTTGTTATTCTCTACAGCATCTTAAATGAAAAGACTTGTCTGATCGTACGAATTATTATGACTATTCACAAGTTGTATAGAAGCTGCATAATTGCAAGAGTTTGAAAAGAAGCGTATTATACATTTATCAATATATGAATGTGTTATTATATTAGAAGTTTTCAACAACGATCAAAGAAATACACTATGGAAAAGTCCAGCTGATAGTCTGATAAAATATAATAATAAAACAATTATCGTAATTGTTTATTGATTTTTTTGTTGTAGAAAAATATGTTGAATGAAATAACAAAATATCTTTTCAATTTTTTTTAATATAACTAACGAGGGAACATATTTAGATGTTCAAGCGTTTTAGAGTCCACCTTTTGGCCATAAGTAGACTTCGATGAGGTATGAAAAATCTAAAAAAAATTCATTTCCTCTCACTTTTATTCGTGAGATATCGAACTTTCAACATATATATATAAAACAGGCAATGAAACGGTAAATGATCGCTTCCTGAAAAATAGTAGAGTATTAAAGGATGAAATTTTTTTCAGTTTTGGTACACTGCTCATCCGATCTGTTCTGAGTTAAAAGTTACATTAAATCTTATCAATAACACTTCCATTTGTTGTTCATCAGTCCAAGGAGCACTCACACCTTTTCATTCTATTTCTGATATCATTTCAAATCACAAAAGTTTGACTGAAGATAATCAGTGAAAATGATAGTCCAGGACAAAGTGGTTGAAACAGAGTGATTTGTCGCACCAGCTGCAACAGATGAAAGGAGCCTCATTGCAGGAAGACGCGGCGCACATTGTAGCGTCAAACGAGAAACACACTTCGGTCACAGTCTTGAAAGGTTCAGAATGGTTGTCTGTGTAGCCACTAGCGTACCAAGCGTATTGGATCAACCGACGAAAAGCTTCAGAAGAGAGTTGGTTATGATTTAGAGACGTGAGACGAATGATATTATTACGTTCGCTAATGTTAATGTCAAGTTCATCAAGCAGCACACGATCATATAGCCGACGAGGAATCACTTTCATTTGCCTATTAAAAAAGACATCCAGTGGTTGAATTTGATCTGTCGTTTTTTTAGGTAATTCAAGTCTTGTGCATCCGGAAATGTGATCGTATAACCCCTTTCCATCTGCCTGTCCTCCCCAACAGTCCGAAACAAGTAGGCACTTCGTATGTTGACCAAGTGATGGGAGAAAAACATGATCATGCCAATACTCTACTAAGGATGTTGTGAGCTTTCCGGAGCTACTGCAAGTGAATGTTTTCGCTCATGTGCCCTTTGCGTTCTTTCAAACAGAGATAGACTGGTAAAAGAAGATGATATCGAACATGATGGTTGGCTGTACTGTGTAGCTGTGGGTAGTAGCATTTGTGGAGCGGACAGATGCAATTGTCACTTTCTCTCGCCTTGTGGCTAAACATTCGCGTAGAGCATAGTTCGAGTTCAATTCCACTTTGATCTGTGTTGATGACCTCGTTGGCTTCATATTTCGGGAAACGCTTGCGAACATTGGCTACAAACTGATCGACCGAAGCTCTGATCGTCTCCTGGTTTTCTATCCCACGCTTCGTCACAATCTTTAAAGAATAAATATTTTTAGTAAGTTTGGTCTCAAAATATTTTTGATGAAAATAATGTTTAGTGTAAAACATAGGAGTCTCGAGTTGAGAAAAAGCCTCTTTTTCATTTTAGTCTGCTTGTCAAAAACTGGGGTGCTATTCACATGTATCTGAGAATCGATCTGGAATTCTCTTACCTTTGTCACCTTGCGTGTGATAATATTGTGTTTAGATTTGAAAGTATAAAGCCAGTAGGATGAAGCCACGAAATTGTGTAAAGACTCATCCATAGCTTTCTTCAAAGCCCATCGACGAAGGTCAATATCGTGTACGGACAAAGCGTTCTTCCGGGCTCGCTCGAACATATCAAATACATGGTCATCAATCTTGTCAAGTTTTTGCTTCTTTGTCCCATGTCTCACAAGATAAGGGCGAAACCAAGCGATATAGGTTTGGTGCGGGATACGCAAGAAATTATGTTTCACTGTTTCCCACTGTCGTTTTCGTTTACCAGTTTTCGGATTGATCTCATCATAGAAATTGACCCCCGAGTCATGTACTCCAATGAAAATTCCTTGCGCAACGCCTTGTCCTCGGATTGGTGAACGATGAGCACGAGGAACGACAAGCACGGGAACGTTGAGCACGCAACTAAGATGTGTATGTGGCTGTTTGTGGGAATGAGTGTTTATGCTAATCGTCAGCTGAACCCCCACTCACATTCACCAACATCCTCACACTCCATACATACCTTCTCACCCACACACAGCTACAGCGGTACACCATTATTCAAACTCACATCTCCACCCCCACACCTAGAGATGTGCACGGGGCCGAACAAGACTTTCTAGTCCCAATAAAAGATGTACGCGCTGTTTCACCAATTTTATTGATGAAGTCTTGTTTGACTGCGCATTTTGTACAGAAGTGTTTTGTCTTTCAGTTTATGTATTTAATAACAGATTACAGGTATGCTTTATGAATTAATTCGGTAAATATGATGACTGGAGCCACATTAGTCTCAGTCATTGTTTCGCTAAAGTCATTGATAGCGAAGGCTTGTAATATATTTTGAAATGTATAGATTGAAGGAGCAAATATTTCTCTACAAAATGCACAGTTAAACAATATTTTAACAATGAAGCTGATGAAACAGTGCGTAAGTCTTTTATCGGGACTGGAAGTGTTCTTGGTACCGTGCATAGCTTTACCTACACCCTCACCCACATCTCACACATCCTCACCCAAACCCAAGCACCCACTCTCACGCCCACACACAGTCACTTTATCTCAACTGACATCCATATTCTAGTTGTGTGCTTAACTTTCCGGTGTTCAACGCTCCCGTGCTCATCGTTCCGGTTCTCCTTGTCTTTGTCTTCTCCATTACCACTCCATTCGGGATCAAACGTTTCTTCAACTTCATTTTCGTCCTCCACGTCATTGATCTATTCACTTTCGATTGACTCGTGATCGAGAATTGCATCGACTTCACAGGTGTGCGAGTGACTGTTAACAATCGACTCAAGCACACCGCACAGTAGTTCGGCTACTTCACACTCACGATGTATAACAGTATGACTGGCGGCCGAAGTGTTCGAAAAAGTGAATGACAGTAAAGTCGATGCTCGATCAGCGAGAACCTTCACAACGTTTGCTGGATTGATCATTTAAAAGTAGAAGCGATAAAAACTAACACCAACCGTTTTCTTATACCACACTTGTAATTTATTAAAATTGAATGAAAAGAAAAACGACTGCATAGCACAAATTATACACAAAAGAGAACAAGATGAGAATGAATGTAGGAAAACATGAAAGGAAGAATGTGCACATACAACATTTATCACCAGGATATGATGGCATGCCAATGAAAACAAAAGTAAAGTAACATGATAGCTAGTGTGTCATGCTCATCCTTTTGTCAAGGACTTTTGTGGTTTGAAATGATATCAGAAATAGAATGAAAAGGTGTGAGTGCTCCTTGGACTGATGAACAACAAATGCAAGTATTATTGATAAGATTTAATGTAACTTTTAACTCAGAACAGATTGGATGAGTAGTGTACGAAACTGAAAAAACTTTCATCCTTTAATACTCTACTATTTTTCAGGAAGCGATCATTTATCTTTTCATTGCCTGTTTATATATATATGTTGAAAATTCGATATCCCACGAATAAAGGCGCTAGGGAATGAATACTTTTTAGATTTTTCATACCTCATCGAGGTCTACTTATGGCCAAAAGATGGACTCTAACACGCTTGAAAATCTAAATATGTTCCCTCGTGAGTTCTGTCCAACTTTCACACGAGAAAAGAATTGTTGCTTTGTTTTTCATTTCGTTGATTAACTTGAAGGATAGGACTTTAGTCGAAACGGATCTGTAAACTTGTTTCATATCGAAGCATAAGTGTTACTAAACCAATCAATGACTATAGATAATTGCTGACTAGATTATTTCTTACTTACATATATAAAATTATAGGTTTTTGCTCTTATGAGTTTTATTTTCAAGTGTAAAAGTTTTCAGTTGTTGTTTTTTGTGAATGATATTGTGATTCTTGTTTCCAAGAAGAAACAAGAGTGAACCAAACTTGATAGCATTGCAGTGTCGAGTCGATCCATGACTTGGATCTGAGTGAACTTAGATGATCTTCGTCATGTGTCAAAAATCCGTTCGAAAGAATGTGAGTTTTTCAGCTAGCACCGACTTTCAAGTTGACGAGAACATAGACTAAAATTTGATCTTAGTCTAAAAAGCTGCAAAGCATTAACTTAAATTCGATGCAGAAGTTGTTATATTGGGTTTATCTTTACACATAATCATATACCTATCCTAAGAATAATAAGTGAACTATCGCAACTAACTTGATGATTGTGCAAGATCGGTCTCCATTGAACTCATGTCACATGAATTCTATGAATCAATTTGA